AAATATACCCCAATGATTCCAATAAAATCCAATCCATTTTCATCCCTAAATACGACGTACAAGACCTATATCATTGAACATTTGAACCTTCTATAAAACTCCTTGATGGATTACTATGGACCCATCACGATGTCACTCAAAGTGGGGCCATAGCATTTGATCGAAGGCTTTTTGAATTTGTGATTTTAGCGGTGCTAAAAGCATTATTGTACGTAGCAAAAGTGGTTTTTGGTAGATAAATAAAATTTATTTTTTACTGAAAGAAATTCAAAATGGCAGGTCATTTGCTTTGTTGTTTAGATGGCCAGCTTATTAATGGTGCTCTGCCAGTGGAATTATATGATGTGACCGTGGTCACACTTTTCAAATTTCCTCTCATAATCTGTCCTTCAGATCAGCGAGAACCCGATTTTACTTTTCATTAATCTCAAACAAACAAGGCAAAAGTAAAATCTAAGGCTATACAAAAGAAAAATGTAAGATTATTTATTTTTTTAGAGTTTATGTTTCTTTATTTATTTATTTTTTTTTTATGGATTAAAGGCTACTGTTGAAACCGGTAAGGCCAAAGCAGCTATTGAAAAGTCAATAAAGGAGGCCATGAGCCCATGATGTACTAAACCAAATTATTGGCACAAGGTCGACAACACACAACACATGGCATTATTCTCAACTGCTGTACAATTTAATAATAAAAAATATCTACAGTATAAATATATATAATATAAAATTTTGGACTCTTTCTTATTTGCATTTTTACTCCTTCCAAACTTATAATCAATTGTATTATATTTTTATGGAGTTTATGTAAATTATTTTCGAAACCTACAATAACAATAAAAAATAAAGGGGTTAAATTTCATTGACGTGGTGTAATCATTGCCATCCGTACATAACATGTGGTATTAAGTAAAGAGGTGTCTATTGCTGGCTGCCCAAGATTACCCACGGAGAGGAAGTATCTGAGTAAGCGCTTTTTAGTTTCTTATTAATTCTTGGAAGAAAATTGGTGTTTGTTTCGTTTTATTTTATTATTTTTTTAATATAATCGTACAATTTTTTCTTTTTAACGATACTCTCAAAAAAATAAACAAAAATTTATATATATATATATATATATTAAAATAAATATTTGATAATTTTTATAATTTAAAATTTATAACAACATTTTCTATATTCAGAATTCAGTGCAAATGAAAAACTTTCAATGTATGACGAAATAACAACTCAGTTACATGGAGAGGATTCCAAGCGCACAATAAGCTGAGATGTGAGGGATAACAGCAGTAAACGCAATTTGAGCGCCGATGAATCGGGGATCCGAAATGCATAATTGGTGCATCATATAATAAGGCACCAGATGCAAATCAATAGACATTTCTGCTTGAGTCGATATGCTGCCAGATAAATGTCACCACTCTGCAGCTAATTCCCAATGTAACCGACCAGGCGACCATGTAGCGGATATCTGGTTGAGCCCTATAACGTCTAGATTACCCTCACTTAACATTGACGGTTATAGACCCCATTTTGAGTTCCCCACAATGTCTTCGTGCCAACTATTTGTTTTGTTGGGCGCCAAAATTATGTTGCTTTCTTTTTCTCTTTTGGTATTATATAAGTCCCGCCAAACTTTATATTAGACAATTCTTTTTAATTAATTTGAAATCAAGTTTTGAGTTCCCCCTTTGGTTTTAAGGTTGATTCTTCTTCTTTTTTTTCTCCATTTGGACTTGTTTTAGAGACAACCAGATAAAACTTTCAACTATCTATTTCATTTAAGGTTGAGGTAACTGAACCATGATGGGTTGCAAAATAAGGTAGGTGTTTGGCATCGGTGCTTGGTATTAGTGTTGGTAGCAACATTTGCAACATGTCTAATGTTTAAGATGGTGCCACACCATTGCACTGCTGGTAGTAATGCATCATTTTTTCAGAAAATATTGAATTTGATGTTGCTCGAGACCAAACTTTCTCGATTTTTAAAATATAATTTAGAACAACATTTTTTCTTTTTTGAAAAAATGATACCAAATAAGAGGATATTGTTTGAAACACTACTTTTTCTGATGTATCACTTATGCAGTGCCGTTTTTTGAGAAAATGACATCAATGCCAAACACTCACTAGAGGTTTAGCACTATTGCCGCTGGCCATCTCTGCAAATTTTTCCTCTTTTAAAGAGCATCGGTCGCACCAGTGCCTCTCTTATGCTTTGTTTGAATACTTGCTAACTGTATTTGAATATTTCAGCCCTTTCACGTTCTGCAGTAGAAAACTAATGTATGTCCAACAAATTACAAAAGTACACTTAAGTGCCAATCACAAATAAAAGTATAATTTTAACCCATGGTAGGATAAATTAAACTTCAGTTGTACATCCTAACTAGGCCTGGTAATTGGGTTTGGTGGATCGGGTTCGAGATGGGTCAAGACATTTCATGTTGATTTCGGATTGGGTTATCAAATACTAGGCCCTAACCCTAAATGTTCAGGTTAGGGTTGACCCATGGGTCAATTCGGGTCATCCTAAAAAATAGCTGAATTTTCAAAAATAAAGAAAATTTATATGAAAAATGCCAAAATTAGATGAATTAACATTAAATTCCAAATATAAAATAAAAAAAACTTGATCATTTAACAATTTAAAGAGTAAAGACTAAATGAAAAAAATTAAAAAGTAAAAACTTCTAACAATGCATAAATAGTCCCAATTAAACTTGACAATCGGATCAACGGGTTGACCCATAACCCAAGCCAACCCAACCCAGTTTTTTCCGGGTCGGATCAGGTCAAGTCATTTTTACATTCAGATAACTAAATATGAAACCCTAACCCTATTTTTTCAGATTGGGTTGGGTCAGGTTCACGGGTTGGGTCAACTTTTTAAAGATGATAAAAATAAAATTATTTAAAAATTTGTTGTAACTTTTTGAATGCATTTATGAATTTTTGTTGTGTATTAAATTAAGATTTCAATCAGTCGCTTTAATGTCACATGGTATGATTACCTTTTATTGCTTCATTTTTTCATGTTTTACAAGGTGCGTTTATCATAAAAAAATTTGACCATGTCAAATGTATTAACTGTGACATATCACATTATTATTATAATCAAATAAGCAAATAATTAAAAAAAAAAACTGTTTTTTTCTTTATGTTTTGATTTTTTTTTGCTTGATGGGGATATACCAAGTCTTTTCCCAAGTCAATGCTTTATTAGGTGGCCATAATTTTGTGCCACAATAAATAGTGACAGGAGAAAGCCAACTCTGTATCCAACAATTCTAAAGAGGAAAGCTTCACATATATTGAAATAGAGAAGCCTACCATTCAATCCATATAAAGTTATTAGTGGCTCTAATGGGAATCTTAGAAATAAAATGAAATAAAGCATAAATATGAGGGTATAAATGGTACCAGCCTATTATAAATTACCTTAATTTTGCAAGAAAACTTAATTAACAGCAAAGAGTATAAATGGTAATATAAAGAAAAGACAACATAAATAGTCTAAATTTTGTTGGTACATTAATAACTTCTCCTTACCCCTTTTTTCCCGAAGTCTAAATTGATTGTTACTAATCACTACCAATCAATTAAATTTGTTTTCTCTCTCTATATCTCTCTCTCCCTATAGGTTGGGATCTGCTATACATGAATTATTCACACATCTCTCTCTCTCTCTTTTATAAATGGGGCATTCACATGCTTGAGAACCAGAAGAAATGCAATTCTACCGATTTAGGTGGTAGGATCTATGCTTCGTCCAAATAGAAACTTGAGATCAAATCCCACTATCATTTAAGGAAATAAGGATGGACTATCCCATTGTGTAGACCGTAAAGTAAAAAAATTAAAAAAAAAAGTATGTTTATATTAATTTAAACAAGGTGATGAGAATCTAATGGATGAAAATGTTTATGATAATCCCAGTTGAGGGATGAATAGAACCATATCTGATTAATAATTTAGTGGAGACTCTTTCATAGTCAAAGTTTATGGAAAAAATCAAATTTTTAACCAGTAATATTCAATTGAAAAAGTTAATAAATTTCATGGCCCAAATCGTTTTAACTCGGTTACTTATATAAAAAAAAAAGTCGACTTACTCGGTCTATTTTGCGACTTAGCCTCTGTGTCCGTGTTGTCCATTCATCATGGACACTGAACAACCTGGATTCCACTTTCAATGTCAGATTTTGTCTTGAGGAGAGAAAGAGAGACTAATAAATAAGAAATCCGTTTATAAATTAGTGTAAGATTGGGTCTGGTGGGTCATTCTCCTAATAGTGCCATGTCACTAAAATGAAAATAGACATCATCCCCAAAACTATCTCTTCGTAATCATATAAATCAGACCCAGAAAAAATAACAAGGAAAGGAAAAGAATACTCGATCAAAGAGAAAGTATTACTTTCTTTTTTAAACAAAAAAAATTGCTTACTATTATTATTATTAGTTTTCACTTTTACTTTTTTGATATATTGAGTAAGTGAGAGAGAAAGCACTTTCCAGCACAACTTGAACCACTGGAAGACGGAATTGAAAAAATTCAAACAACAAATTATTGTACGTACATGTAGCGGGAAAAAAAATAGTACGTATGTCCATTAAATATGAATTTGAACCATCTACAGTTGTATGGAGCAGGTGACTAGTGACTCGTTCTTAGCTGAAAAGGATGGCGGGATCCAAACGATTCTAGAAAAGCACCAAAAGTCTACGAAAATAAAAGAATATAGTAATACTAATAATTCATTTTAAAGAGGAGTCCATGAAACGCCGGCAATCATGATCGAATAAACACAATTGAATACTCATTAGGACAGCTCGCCCTTGAGGAAGGCTTCCTATAAATAGTTGCTCATGCAAGCCCAGATGATCCAATCACAACCACAACCAAAACTCTCCCCTCCTACCGGCCGGCATCGGATCTTTCCGGGGGAAAAATAAAAGTCCGACGCATTGGGTGGGGGCAAGAGAATTATCAGAAATCCATGAGGAAACGCAGCGGCGACCCTTCATGGGTTCGCACATGGCCACCACTTCTTGTGGGCTTGGCTGTTCTCCTTGTATCTTGCAATGTAGGATCGGTTGCCGGTAATCCATATCTGTACGAGTCACCGCCTCCACCCTCACCATCTCCACCACCACCCTACTACTACAAATCGCCACCTCCACCATCACCTTACTATTATAAGTCTCCTCCACCACCCTCTCCATCTCCCCCACCACCTTATCACTACAAGTCGCCACCACCTCCATCACCATCCCCACCTCCTCCCTATTACTACAAGTCCCCACCACCACCTTCTCCATCTCCACCACCTCCTTACTACTACAAGTCGCCACCACCTCCATCACCATCCCCACCACCTCCTTACTACTATAAGTCTCCACCACCACCTTCTCCATCCCCACCACCTCCTTACTACTACAAGTCACCACCTCCTCCATCCCCATCCCCACCTCCTCCCTATTACTACAAGTCCCCACCACCACCTTCTCCATCTCCACCACCTCCTTACTATTACAAGTCACCACCACCTCCATCCCCATCCCCACCTCCTCCCTATTACTACAAGTCCCCACCACCACCTTCTCCATCCCCACCCCCTCCCTACTACTACAAGTCCCCACCACCACCATCCCCATCACCACCCCCTCCTTATTACTACAAGTCTCCTCCTCCACCTTCTCCATCCCCACCACCTCCTTACTACTATAAGTCTCCACCACCGCCTTCTCCCTCACCTCCCCCACCTTATTATTACAAATCTCCTCCACCACCTGTTAAATCACCTCCACCACCTTATTATTACAAGTCTCCACCTCCACCTTCTCCATCTCCACCTCCACCTTACTACTACAAATCTCCACCCCCACCTGTAAAGTCACCACCACCACCTTACTATTACAAGTCTCCCCCACCACCTTCTCCCTCCCCACCACCACCATACTACTACAAGTCCCCACCCCCACCTTCACCATCTCCACCACCATATTACTACAAATCTCCACCACCACCCGTGAAATATCCACCTTCTCCTTACTACTATAAATCCCCACCACCACCGGTCAAGTTGCCCCCTGCACCGTACTACTACAAATCTCCACCTCCACCAGCTCCCTACCATCCTCCTTACTACTACAATTCACCCCCACCACCGAAACCGCATCCTTACCCCCACCACCCATTAGTTGTTAAGGTAGTCGGAAAAGTCTACTGTTACAGGTGCTACGATTGGGCTTATCCAAAGAAGTCCCACGACAAGAAACATCTCAAAGGTAATTTTTATTCATATCTCCCTTTTAGTTGCATGTAAACTTAATGAAAAGGAAACCAATAATTTTCTAAATGTTTTTATATTATATATATGGTGTTTATTTGCATGGAAACAGTTATAAAAAGGACTTTTTTTACTTGTTTTTGTAAACATTTTTCAAATAAGTGCTACTACTTCTTGATTCTTATTTTTCAAGGTACCCATTTTCCAATTATTCGGGTATGTTTTAAAGTAAGCAAAATACAAGAATTATTAGAAATATTGTTGCTCTTTTTCTATTGAATATCCTTTTTCCAAGAAAATCGTTCGTTTTCGCTCATTTCACACGCAACCAAACAAAATCACCCAATATCACCGTTTCAAACTTCAGAAGATTTTTCTTATATGAATACGAAATAGAATTCTTATACACAGATCGTTACCAAATTTCAATGTTAAATTTCTAATTTGCTAGACTGAATTCTTTATACTTTTAGGGAAGACAGTAATGTTTTTCTATTTCTTCATTGTGTTAAGAAAATTTGAATCTAAATCTCACTGAAGTATGTCTTGAAGGATTTTCTTTTTTAAGTGAAGATTCCAACAACTTTGTTTCTCAGCTCTCAATTATTTACTTCATGTCGGGTGTTCCGTTGAAACTGTTTACGATTTATAAATAATAAATAGACAGCTGTCTGTCCTTACGTTATATGAAGGGTGTGATGACTTTTCAATTTTGTCTATAACAAATTCAAGTCTAAGAATACAACTGTTTTGTATTACATGTGAACTCATTACATATATTTAGGCCAAAGAATGCTTCCATAGCCATTCTTGTTTAATAATGATAAAGACAAAATTATTTATTTGGATGGCTATGACTCTTTTGGCTATTCAATTAAACGAGGCCGGATCACCTGCCAATAAAATATGTTTCAACACCCTATCAACGTCATCTGATACTCTACATCTCAAGTTAGTAGGGTGTTAGAATTGAGATCGGCTTTGACAGGGTAAATTTGTCCCTTTACTGTTTCAACCACCTTTTGGGAATATCTCCCTACAAAATAAAATATATAAGTAAAGAGATTTTTTCCATACAAGGCTGTTAAGGCTGTTTAAACGGAAATTGAACATATATCTCATATATGACGAGTTCCACTTTTATGATCTGACTTAATGAGATGTATGATGTCAAATCAAATTGGTAGGGTGTTGGAACATGCCTTATTGTGAGGAGATCCATCCCAACTCTAATTAAACATATCAGACATGATTGGAAATCTTATTTTATTACATGTATGCGAAGCAGGTGCGGTCGTGGAAGTGACTTGCAAGGCTGGTGACAAGGAAATTGTTGCCTACGGGAAGACCAAGATCAATGGCAAATACAGCATTTCTGTTGAAGGTTTTGATTATGGGAAATATGGAGCCGAGGCTTGCAAGGCCAAACTCCACGTGGCTCCCAAGGGTTCACCCTGCAACATTCCAACTAATTGGCATGATGGAAAGAAGGGCGCTGGTCTCGAGGTCAAGTCCAAGACACATTACGAGGTTGTGCTGAAAGCCAAGCCGTTTGCTTATGCTCCCAAGAAACCCTATAAGGAATGTGAGAAGCCCAAGCCCAAGCCACCTCCTTATTACTACCACTCCCCACCACCACCAACACCCACTTATTACTACAAATCACCACCTCCTCCGCCACCCACTTATTTGTACAAGTCTCCTCCACCACCACCACCAGTGTACTATTACAAGTCACCACCTCCTCCACCACCATATTTGTACAAATCACCTCCTCCACCCCCACCAGTCTATTATTACAAATCACCACCTCCACCACCACCTTATTTATACAAATCACCTCCTCCACCATCACCGGTCTACTATTACAAATCCCCACCTCCACCACCCTATTACTACAAATCCCCGCCACCCCCATCACCATCTCCTCCACCCCCATATTACTACAAATCACCCCCACCACCATCGCCATCTCCTCCCCCTCCATACTATTACAAATCACCCCCACCACCATC